GAGTTCTACCATGTTTTCCCGAAAAGAAGACCTACCTACAGTTTTGCCTCTTGCTGAAATATAAAGCATTCCCCCCGAAAATAAGGCCCCCTGAAGCTACCATGACCCTGGACCATAGCGGTGGGTGCTGCCGGGCAGCTCACTGTTGCCCGCAGCGCAACAGGAGCAGACAGGAAGTGCGAGGGCTCTTTTAATAAAACAACAAACAATAAATGTGTACCGTATTATTCTTCATGGAAAAATAAGATATCCTCTGAAAATAAGACCTAGCGCATCTTTGGGATCAAAAATTAATATAAGACACTGTCTTATTTTCGGGGAAACAGGTAGCTATTTCTGGGTTCCCATTGGCGTGTAATATTTAGGTACTGTTACCTTAAACTCTCTAGCTTCCTTTAGTAGTAGACAGAGAGACAAATGACAAGGAATATATCTTTTTTTAAAAACTCACAAAGCAGTAATAACGTTTACTTTTTATATTTATAGTAGTACAGAGAAGGATATACTTGTATTCACTTTAGATGAATACAGCTTAAGTTCTTAGCTCTTCAATCAAAACTATTTCTGTAGCTGTAAAATCAGGCCTTGGCTGTGGAGCTGGCATCTTTAAAGTCATCAGTTAGATTTTTTGCTTTTAATTTTTAACTTGCAATACATTTACATAAAATAAATGTTGGGATCTCTAGGACCAGGTTATCTACTCTGTTGTGTTGATGCATTCCAGCAAAGAGTAAAATATTTTTCTTTACTAAATGATAAAAGATCCTTCAGAATTTTGGGGGGGATTACATGTTTTGTCTAACTGAATCTACCCTAACAATCATTATACATTTTATATAAGACTACTATGTGCTGTGGATATAAGTATGTTATGGAAACTGCAAATGCCACATAATTGTTTAAAAGTAGGGGTGGGGATAAACATTTTATTTGAGATACTAGAATCAGATCATTTGAAATGGACCCTGAAGGATTAGTACATAGTACATTTCAACTGCAAGAGGGAAGGTGACAAATTGTACAGTTGGTTGAAAAAGAAGGAACATACAGAGGGGGAGAAAGGGGGAACCGACCACAGTGATCACATATAACCCCCTTTCTGGGCGACGGACAACGGAAAAATGGTTGAAGGGAGACATTGGACAGAGTAAGATATGACAAAATAGGGAGCGGGGAGGGTGGGGAACAAATGAGGAGCTGATGCCAGGGG